CCAAGAAGGGAAACACGAAACGAGAATCCGAGCTTTCTACCCCGAGAGGTTCTCGGGAAGACCCAAGATGCCCCCAATCGGATCCAAGAGGCCCCTGAGAAGCTCCCAAGAGGGCCGACGAGGTTCCAAGAGATCTCCCAAGGTGGCCCCAAGAGGCAGAACTCATTGTATTACGATTGGGCTTTGACGGGTTCTACGTTGTTTTCTGCCTTTGGCATCCCGATGTCCAACACGGCCCAAGAGGCTTCCAATACCGCTCCCATATAGAGGAAGAGGCCTCCAAGAGGGCCCCAAGACGGCCCGCGAGGGCCCCAAGACGGTGCTTGAGGCGCCCAAGACGGCCCGAGAGGGCCCCAAGAGCCCCAAGAGAGGCCCAAGACGGGGAACGCGACCCAACAGCAGATCGGTCCCCCCACAAGGCACACAGGAGGCCGCAAGAGGCCCCCAAGTGGTCCGACGAGGACCCCCATAGCTTCCCGAGGGCCTAAGAGGCCCCTAGGAGACGTCCAAGAGGCTTTAAGATAGCCCAAGAGTGCCCTCGATGCGTCAAAACTGCTTCCAGGAGGCCCCCGGGAGGCTTCCGGATTGCCTCAATCTGGCCGCAGGTGGCCTCAAGCCGGGCTTCCACGCAGCCAAGACGGCCAATGACGGCTTCAGATTGCAGAACCGATGCCCCCAAGGGACCCTCAGACGCCCCCCCAAGAAGCACCCAAGAGGTGCCTCCAACAGCCAGTTGACGAAGCATGCGGAACACCCCAGAAGCTCCTCAGATGCCGTCGCGCGCCTGTGCTTGATATCATTGTCCAAGATCGTCCAGCGCCCCCCAGGCCTGGGCTAGAACCTGAGCGCGCGCGAAGCGCGCGCGATGGTTCTAGTATATATATATATATATATATATATATGTATATATATATATAAAACAAATACGCCGGGTCCCCTCCGGGGGCGTCCTCAGCCTCGCTCACATCCTCTGTACGCTCCCGGTACCGCGCTACCCGGCCTCCAGGGGGGCCCCTACAATGCCCAAAGACAGCCCAAGACGACCCCAAGAAGCCCCCAGAACGTAAAAGAATTGCCCAAGACGCTCCCAAGCAACCCAGGATAGCTTCCGGGCGGCTCTCCAGGCTCCCAGGAGGCCTCCAAGAGACCTCGAGAGAGCTCCGAGAGGCCTCCCGAGAGCGTCCAGAGAACCTAAAATCGTTAATTTTCTTCCTTTTGTTTCAGGGTTCTCACCATTTCATGCTTCCAACGCTCCAAGACGGCCGAAGATGCCCCCAAGACCGCCCAAGAGGTCCCCACGACGGCCCCAAGACAGGCCAAGACGGTCCCAAGAATGCCGAAGAGGCGCCCCCGACAGCTTTAGGCAACCCCAGAACATGCCCGAGATGAGCCCAAGAGCGGGAGCAGGAGGCCGCCATCTGCAGGGACCTCCGAGAGGACTCCGGGATCCCCCAGAGGCCTCCCAAACACCCCAGACTTTTGAGAGGCCCCCAAAAAAGCTCCGACGAGGCCCCCAAAACAGCCCAAGACAGTTTCGAGAGCCGTCCCGAAAACGACCGAAGAGGGAAAAAACGGTGAGGTTCAGTGGTTTGTGTCGACTTTTGTTCGCCTTTCACGGTGTCCGGCTTCCAACGCTCCAAGACCGAGGAATTTTACATTCAACAAATGCGGACCCCCTTCTCCCAGGGGTCCCACACCTTCCCGTAACATCTGCGGAATGCTCGCGGTACCGCGCTTCCCGACCTCCCGGGGAGCCCCCCAAACACCCAGGACAGCCCAAGACGGCCCCAAGAACGTCAAAGAAAGGCCCAAGACGCTCCCAAGCAGCCAAGGATAGCTTTCGGTCGGCTCTCCAGGCTCCCAGAAAGCCTCCAAGAGACTTCAAAGACCGAGGAACTTGAAAAAAAAAGAATTCCAGAGATTTCATTTCGTTTTTCAAGTTGGAACTCCTACTCCCTATCCTCTTCCTCGATCCCCATCTAGACTTGGGGGTCACATGCAAAGATTTTCGGGAATAATATTGAACTCTCGAACGCTGTCTTGGCACTCTCTTGGATCGTCTTCGTGTCCTCGTGGCTGCACCTGAAACCATAGTAGAAATCGAGATCGCATGGTCCCATGAGTCGGAACACAAGAATGTTACATTTGTTCTCCAAATTCGCCCATTGCTTATTTTCGCACGAAGACCACGAGAGGCATCCCAACAGACCGTGGCCTGCATCCAGAAAGCTTCTGATCCACAGCCCAGGCAGGGCAACTGGAAAAGAATGGGAATCCCAGTGATCTTTTTTTCAAGTTCGCCGCCCCCCCCCTGTCTTTTCTTGCACAACAGACCACAATTAATGCCCCCCTCAGGTCCCAGAATAGAACCCAGGAATTCTTTGAGGGCCCCAAATCGTTGAACACCGAACGTGCATTTATGATTTTTGCGTTTCCGCAGTGATTCCGAGGCTTGCGCAGGGCCTCCAAGAGAGTCCTTGGATGCAAGAAACGGACAGAATTAGATACCATGAGTTAGCCTAGCCCGTCAAGCCTAGCTAGAGCTTGAGCGCGCGCGAAGCGCGCGCGATGGATGGTTGTAGTATATATGCATACATATATGTATAAGTAGATGTACATGTATATGTATATGTGTATACAATTATACAGATATGTGTGTGTGTGAACAGCCCCCCAGCACCAATTATACGCCCTCGTCCGTTCCCGCATCCGCTAGCGGCACATTTCCCACAAGCGCCATTGTGACAGATGCAAGCTTCTGTTTCTTCTACATAGAGGGGGGACAAGCGTGTGAGCCATCCTGTAGACGAGCAATCAGCAAACCCTTGCGATTTCACTGGAGTTCGGGTCGCTGGGGCGCTAGTCGACGAATACCTTGCTGATTTCAGTGGGATCCCGAGGATTTCACACCGTCCAGCAAGCCAACCCTTGGATCCCCAGGAGTCAGAATCCCAGGGGTACCAGTGAAATCGCTGGGTTCTGCGACGTCGATGGTGCGCAAACCCAATGATTTGATTTGGATTTCTGCGATTGTTGTGGTGCTACTCAACGGCGCCCTGTGATTTCAATAGGATCCTTGGGATTCCTGGGGTTTCAAGCCCTGGAGCAAGACCAACCTTGGGATCCCAAGGAGGTCCAGGGCTCAGAATCCAAGGAACCACAATGAAATCGCAAGGTTCGAGACATCAGCGATGCGCGAACCTTCTGAGTTCACTGGGGTCCTTTTGGTTTCTGGGATGCAAATCAATGAAAGTTTGTGAGTTGATTTGGGTTCTTGGAGTTCATGGGGACTCATACCCGGAGCAAAACCAACCTTGGGATCCCCAGGAAATCCAGGGTTCAGAATCAAATGGGCCCCAATGAAACGTAAGGTTCGAGACGTCGGTGATGCGCAAACCCTGTGATTGCATTGGGGTTCTTAGGATTTCTGGGATGCAAGTCAGTGAAGCTCTGTGAGTTCATGTGGAATCTTCGGAATTCTCGGATTTCATACCCTGGAGCAAAACCAACCTTGGGATCCCCAGGAGGTCCAAGGCTTAGAACCCCAGGAGCCCTATTGAAGTCGCAAGGTTCGAGACGTCGGTGATGCGCAATCCCTGTGGTTGCAGTGAGATTTCTGGGATTTTAGGGGTGCTAATCAACGAGACCTTGTGATTTCATTTGGGTTCCGGAGTTCCCTGCGGTTTTCAGCCGTGACCTTGTGTGACTCCATGGTTCATGCGTTGTTTTCGTTCCAGGGTATGCAACCCCAGGAGCCTCATGAACGTCAATGAAATCACAAAGTTCCATTGATTTGCATCCCAGAAATCACAGGACTCTGAATGTAATTGTAGGGCCTGCCCATCACCGACGTCTCGAACCTTGCGACTTCATTGGGGTCCATTTGATTCTGAGCCCTGGACTTCCTGGGGATCTCAAGGTTGGTTTTGCTGCAGGGCATGGGTGCCCATGAACCTCAAGAGTCCACATGAACTCACAAACTTTCATTGATTTGTATCCCAGAAAGAAAAGGGGTCCCAGTGAAATCATAGGGATTGCGCATCGCCGACGTCTTGACTCTTGTGATTTCATTGGGGCTCGTTGGATCCTGAGCGCTGGGCATCCTGTGGATCCCAAGGTTGGTTTTGCTCCAGGGTTTGAAATCCAAAGGACTTCCAGGAATTCCAATGATATCAAGGGGTTTCGTTGATTAGCATCAAAAGTTCCAATGGATCCAAGTGAAATCATAAGGTTGTCGCATCACCGACGTCGCGAACCCTGCGATTCCATGGGGACCCACCCTTGGATGTGCTGTGTGTCTTGGCACACGGGGGGTCTCGTGTTCTTGAGGGATGTGATTCTGGTCTTGGTCCATGGACGAGGATCGGGAGGGACGCTGAGTATTCATGCACGCGCTGCCAGCTTGTGTAACTCCTTCGCCTGCTGCACACTGTACCTTCAGCAGTGACTCGCTGATGGGGTCCATCCCAGCCGCCGAGGATGATGGGTGCGTTCGGTAGCAAATCATGCGAGCCTTGTATACCCTCGCATTTCCCTCCTTACAGTGCACTAGCGTCGACTGGCGCCTGGTAGTCGATGAAGATGCGCCGATGTAGCGTCGACTCGCGTCGATCAGCGTCCACTTAGCGTCGGCTAGCGTCGAGGAGCGCCGATTCGCAAGAGCCAACAAGCGTGCATGGGAAGCTCCCGTGAGTTTCCGAAGAAGGGGCGAGAGGGACAGCCCCGCGAGACCCCCCTTCAGCCGAGGAGCCTGGCGGGCACCGACCCCGCCGCGCTGCCCGACGCCTTCGACCCCGCGACTGGCAGCGGCCGCTGGAGGTGCTCGGAGGAGCCAGAGGGGGTCATGATACCGGGCGAGGATGCAGGAGCGCAGAGGAAGAAGACGTACCCATCTGCCGTTACCCTTACACCTCGAGTTCGTGTCTGGGGGCCTCCCAGGAGGCCCCCGTCGCCACCGCTGGACGCGCCTCGATATTGTCGTCCGAACGCACCAAGGGAGAGGTCTGGTGAGTAGCTGTATCGGTAGTTCCCCGAGCAAGTCCTGATACCGGGCGGGTCTACAGGAATGGGGTCACTCTCTGCTTGCGATCCACGCTGTCTCATATTGATATATCAATGTTTGTTTTGTATGCTGGCTCGAACCCCCAACGCCCCAGCCACCATTCCCCATTTTGGGCCCCCCCAGCCACCATTCCCCATTTGGGTCTCCTTTTGGGGCTGTTTGTCTGGCCCCACGGGCCAGCACAGACGGATCTGGCACTGGAGACTACCCGTGGGGGGAATGTCGGGCGGGCCGAGGACCAGGTTTCATCGCTCCAGGGCGCCCCAGGACGCTCTGCAGAGCGTTGCGGAGGGCTCTCGGAAAACGGCCGCGGCGTCCGATGTTTCCCTGAGGACCGTGAGATCCCAGAGGTCCCCGATCGGATCTTGTCCCAGTCCAACCGTCGTCTTGCAGTGGAGACCCATGCCAAGAAGCACACTGCTTGCCTCCAGGGTGCCCTGGGTTTCTTGAGTTTCGATGGGTTTGCGATGGAAAGCGTGACGTTTCCACACCAGAGATCGATGGACGCCTTGGGGTCTCAGGGTTGGGTTTCTGGTAGAAGGTTTCGTATGGACAGGCCTCCACTGTTTGATAGCATGATGCGTTCCAGGACTTCAGGCATTTCCCTGCTTCCCCCTGCCGCTCTGCGCGAGGGGCTCCACTTCGAAGGAGCCCCTAAGCCCCTGGCCAGAAGGCCAACCTGCCTTCTCAGGAAACCGTCCCCGTCGCACGGCTCCCTTGTTGCCGCCGCCACATTGGGGGAGAGGCCCGCTGATTTGATAATTTCTTGAGCTACGCAGAAAACGGGATCGTCTACACCGACATGAACGCGTAATCGTCCCGCGCAAGGTCGCGTGTGGGCGCTCTTTGTCCCAGTGTAGTGTGCCGCGATGACGGCCCGCGAGAGCCGCGGCGTAAGGTCGCTATGCCATCTCTCGAAAGACTCGCTGCTTTCGTCACTCACATCGGAGACGAAAGTCAGCCACTCGCAGAGGGGCGCAGGGGGGACAGTTATCTGTTGTTGCGATTATGTGAGTTGCTCGTATGACAAGGACGAGTCGAAGTTGTGATACGACGAGAGGGTGGTTCGTATGATGCGACAGAGGTGTTCTTGCGACAGCTGTTCTTATGACAGCGCGAGTTGTTCTTGTGACACGTTTGGGCCCCCAAGAGGCTCCCAAGAGGCCCCCAAGAGGCCCCGAGATGTTCCCGGAAACCTTTTTGGGATGGGGGGAAGGCTTCTCAGGAGCACCCCAAGATGGCGCGGGCCTGGTCTGGAGATGCAAGGCCGGCGCCTTCTGAGAAGCAGCCTCCCTCTGACAAGAAGCCTTCCCCCCTCCCCCTGCCCCCCTCGGCGCGTCGCCACGAAGTAACTACACTAAAGCAGCGTTTGACGGTCCGCGCGGATTTCTGGGCTCTGCGCTGGGCTTCCCTGGCGGCGTCTCCGGCGCCGGCCCCGGCGCAGGGAGGGGGATCCAGCGCAGATCCACGGCATCAGCGCGGGCCGTCGGAAGCGTACGGTCGGACCGAGGTCATATGATCGAGGTCGACGAGGGTGCCCCAGTGTTCTTCTTGTCTGTTGGATGTTCTTGTGCATCCCGGGGAGGATACCCTTGAATGTCCTGCTCTCTTTTGGGCCGACGGAGGGTCTCGTGTTCTTGGGGGATGTATTTCTGGCCTAGGTTCGGCTGTAGTTGTTGCGCCCCTCTCACAGACAGCCATACGCAGAGGGGGTCCGCGGAATGGTAATGCTTCTTAGAAACAGACTTGCTTCTAAGAAGGCGCGGGCTCTATCTATAGGTGTAGTGCCGGCGTCCTTCTAAGCGGCCTCCAAGTACAGCCAGAATTGATAGCAAGGATGAGCGAATTCCCAAGGCTTCCCTCGCATCCTCTCCCTCCGGCCCGTTCTTGGCCACTCTCGTTGGCCGCGGATCCCGCTCATCAAGAGTCGGCCGGGCCTTCCAAGGCCCGCTGCATCCTTGCCGCGCATCCTTCCTGTCAGCCCTGGGCTTCTGCTGCAGAACTCCCGGATCGTGCCCCGAGCCAGTCGCGTCATGGTAG